GTTTTCCACTTTCTCAGAAATCCTCGACGACGACAAAGTCCGAAACAATGTCTCGGAATTGAATCTCGAGCTGGCGAATGTTCGACGATTGGTACCTGAGAGAGATGGCATTAGTTTGACATCGAATCGATTCAACCAGCGTCGTCGAGTGGGGTCATTTGTGACGCAGCGTGAAAGACCACGATCGAATTATACACGCGCGGAGACACGTAGAATATATGCGTGGTCACGATCAATCACGCGCAAAAATCGCCATAATTTCGCCCCGTCGTATGCGCGTGTCGCAACGCGAAGAGATTTAAGAGAGAATAATGGATTCAGAAAGACTGGGCGCGTAATGGACGCGTAACGAGCCGGGAATTTCGCCCGGGACTTTTAAAAAAATCTCGACTAGGATGCCATTCAAATTGGCCTTGGTAATGGAAATCCCGATGCGAGGAAAGTCGTGTCCTCGTTGAAAATTCTCCCCGAAATTTCTCGTTAATTTAATTCGAGGAATCATCGAGCGTAACTTAATCACAGAGCGTAACTTTTTTCTAATTGGGATGAAAGTCTGCTTGAAGTCGGATCCGTAGTCTTAAACACGTGTCTGCGTGACGATCCTAATTTTGAATTTCTCAGGCAAGAGAAAATCCAACAGCGTTGTAGCGGAAAAATGAGTTTTCTTTGATAGTGAATTATTTTCAAGTTGATCGCGAATTAAATCGTCAAGCAACGATGTAACAATAACATGGTAAATTGTTAAATTTAAAGAAGTTACAACTACCTTATTTAATACGTAACAGTTGTAACAGTTGTTTGTCATGCGTTGGAAAATATTTTTAAATAAAATTAATTGAGATTTAGAAGGTTCGTTGATTCTCTAAAGTTCTCTAATTAGTCTGTACTTGAGGGATGCGAAACATGTGTAAAAGCTTCTGATTTGACAAGCTGAACAGCACGTTCATGTCGTAAACTTAACAAAATGAATAAAAAACGAAAGTATAGAAACAGGAGAATGAGGAACAAAGTAAGGGCTGGAACCTAGGAAGGAAGAACCTAGTTGATTTGCGAAGATACCTAGCATCCAAGTGAATTTTCACCGGTTCGCCCCTCGTATTATTATCAATCCCGTTTTATTCCTATCGAGCGGAGATAAATTAAAAAAGATAACGTGACATAACGCAGGCACGTAGCCTGTAAGCTGACACCGCGAGCTCATCGTTCTTTCAACCCGGTGAGACGGCCGTACCGCCCACTGCGAGACAAAAACACGACGTTCTTCATTTGACGAAACAAGTAGAGCAAAACTGGTTTTTCGCAGAGAATCTCATGCCGCGCGCGCGTGCCCGTCGATCCGATTCTATTCCGCGATTCGATCGTTTTTCTCACCGTTACAAATTGTCGGGAGAAAGAACAGCTTATATAGCAGCCTATATTCGTTCGCGCGAGCTAAATAATTTAGAAAGATTCCTCTGGACCAAGAATTTCCAATTAGCAAGCGTTCAGCGTCCGGCCGTGACCGGTTTTCCATCACGCTCGTAGAAAGTTTCGTTATTCGCGGAGTTGCCCGCGGAGTTTCTGAAATTGTCGGCAACGACAACGAGTTAACACGGCTGAATGGATTCGGAGGAGCGTCGAGCGATCAAGTGAGAATAATTGAGAAGGAGGTTGAGGTTGAGCTGAAGCTAGGGTAATTAGGTTGCCCCTGGAAAATTTCCTCAAATTAGAAAACTTCGAACTGGCTGGTCGTGTTGGTGAGCGAAAAATGAAAATCGAAACTGGAAACAGCGCAGCTGCTGTATTCAGCATCGTGTAACGACGTATCGAGAAATAATTTCTCGCAACGTGATGCAAACGTGTTTTATTTAAAAAAACGCGGAGAGAAAGAAGAAGAATTAGACGATTTCTCCGCGAAGGCTGACTGCCAGTCTGAGAAGCGAACGGCACGTTGAGAGTCACTGATTTCCTCATGTCCTTACTTCTCTCTCGGTCGGAGGATCCGCGAAGAGAGGCGCCACAGGGATGTCGCCGAGCGAGCCTGCCTGTCCTCTCGTCTTTCAGCCACTCCCATTTTCAGCTACCGAGTTACTGCCACTCTGTCAATCTCACCTGACAGTCGCGTCCAAACGAAGATATACTCCCGACAATGAATAACCTTCCGAGTCGCCATTCACCTTGTCACCGAGGGGAAAAGTTGCGTCGTTTGTATCCCACGATATTGCGAACACGATCAGTCTTGGAAATTAGTTCTACGAACTCGTTGAATACTGAATTCCGATCCACTCTCCCTATCTGGATGAAAGAAGTTATATAGCTCACGGGCGTCCGTGAGTTTCGTTTTCCAGAACGGAGTTACAAATTTGCAATTATAATTCACGTATTCTCGATCCATGCGCCGAAAAGGTGACACTACATATATATATGTATATTTTTTTTCTTTTGTCTGAAAATGTTTCCCGAAAAAATTACTTTTTTTGAAAGAACAACGATAACGCGAGAGTGTCTCGTTCTGACTGTCTCGATCGCTAGAAATTCCAAGGAGTCGCGATTCCAAGGAACGAACTTTCAAACAGTCCGAGATTTCAAAGATTCGAAAGCGTCAAAGAGGAGCGTCGTTCCTGGTCTCGTCTCGTTTAAACAAGACAAATGAAGACATCCGGCGAGACACACGGCGAGAACGATGAAGCTGATAGCTGAGATTGGTCCGGGGATCACCTACGGCGTGTACGAGGCATCGAACCGTACCGATTGATTACGATCGTTACGAAGACAATGGCGGGCACAGGCTTACTTTAACGACGACGGCACTAACTTCGAAACCTCGGTGGGATTATCTTGGACGGCCTGTGCCACGGTTAGCAGAGGATCGAGTTTTGTCCGCTGAAAACCGATCTCTCGGCTACTGCCCACGTCTCTGTATCTTTCACTGTGTTTCTCAGCTCAGTTTCGACCCTACGATACGCCGAAGAGACACGAGAAGCCGAGGGGCGAAAAATTTATGGATTTTCATCCTTTCGTACGTTCGTAAACGCGTTAGGAAAATACGCTGAATTTTGCGACGAATCCACGTTCCATGTTTTTTCACCTCGTCGAGCAGCTGTAAAAGTTACCCAACAATGGTTCTTCGAAGCTTAGAAAATCGCATGGGAATCGAGCGGAATTCTAAGATTCTCCGGTCACGCGAGAAGATGGCGTTTTCGACGCGTGGAACGACTTGATTGAGCAGTTGGGGCCGATCGGGGATCGTTCGATCGCTGGAAGAGGGAGATCGTTCGTTGCTGGCTCGGCACAATTTGTCTGGGGCGGCGAGGTAACGTGTTAACGGGCTGGAAAGTGGCTGCAGGTGTTGTTAGCTTTCGTGACTCGACGCGTTAACGGGAGCGTGGCGTTTTCGCGTGTCGAGGCACGCGCGTTGCGAGAGAGTAACGTGCTCCTCGGAAGCAACGCGAAAACATATATATATATATATGAAATCGACGAGAAACCGCGCTGATTCTGGTGCGAGAGTTCTATATATGCTTCAGATATATAGGCAGTAGTGGTTTCTTCGAATTGCTGCTTCACAAGAAGTGTTACATCCTGACAACTGCACGCCTCGGGCAACAAAGAAAGTTTGCGTATAAAGCATACGTAAAGTCGACGTTTTGTATCGCGACATCAGCGAAACGACATTTTCCTTCGAAACTTCATCCCCATTTTTACCCTTGTTCTGGGAGAATTTACATAAACCTGCCTTGTAACGGTACCAACTACGAAAACGACGGTATCATTTCTCTACGAGAAAGGTGCAACGATATATCGAAGATTAAGGATCGAGAAGGCTACGGGAAGCACTTTGTGCCTGTAACTGTGTAAACATACCTGCACTTACTTTCCACCCCTGTTTTGCAAAACAGTCTTTACGAGCTTGAACCAACACCGGCGCATCGTCCACAGAATCAGAGATATTCAAGCCA